CTTCCCTTGTCTCCCTCAGGCCCTTGTGTGGCTGACCAGATCCTCAGGTAAATGGTTTGTTCTGTCTCTGGACTACAGCTGTGTATCCGACCACCACCATCACCCCCATTGCACAGAGCATCCCTCAGCAGCCTCCCATCCTGCAGCAGCAGCAACGAGAAGGTGAGGTTCAGAGTGGGACTATGTGTGTCCCGAGACATGGGTGGGATTTGTGTAGCTCATCTTCTGCACCACAGAACCAATGGAGAGGAGCCAGCACTGGTTTTTGTCTGCTAATCTTTGATACTGGAACTGGGCTATGGAAACAACCACATCTCTGCCATGAATGGACTAGGAAAGTTCACAGGATGCTTGTTATGCAAACTTCCTGAGCTTGTCCCTGGCCAGATGTTGCCAGGTACAAAGGGGACAGTAGGCACCAGAACACCAAGCTTTCACATCCAAGGGATAGAGTCAGCACCTTCCCTACACAGTCAGGGGAAAAGAGCACTCCATCGTTACTGATGCCAGAACCACAGCGGTACCAGTCAAACCAGCCTCTCCCAATGTACTTTCCTCTCTTTTCAGCCTTCATAGCCTCCAGAGTTTATTTTTCAACTTATTTCAAAATTGGCCTAAATAGAATTTGGAGGCAAAGGCATTCTCTCTCTGCTCCTGATTCTTACAGCAGGTGTTAGGGAGGGAGCTGCTTCTTGTGCTTATCAGGCTCACAAGGAGCAAGTGAAGGAGTAGACAGGACCAGGTCAGCCCATAAATGGGATGTAAGGCTGTAGCTTATGGACTGAAGGCAACCACTGCCTTAACTGTGGGCAGGGAATGCCAGAGGAGCAGCTTTCATGTAGCAGTGTCTGCTGCTCTCCTAGGACTGGGAGAGCTATGAACGAGGAACTCTTACCTCAGCTGAGTTCCTTCCATCAAAACAGCACCCAGACCATCACAGAGTTGTTGTGTCCAGCACCCTGTTTGAGAACTAGATAAGCTTTGAAAGTGAAGCTGCTCTCCAGAAACTTCAGCTTTGTATATTACCTCCCAGTTGCTCTTAGACAGCCCTCAGAATCCTTTGGGGAGCAGAGGCAGTGCTAGGCTTCTCCTCCAGTGCTGTGCTATGAGTTGAGCCCATTTTTCTTCCCCTTCCCTTTGGGGTTTTCTGTTTTGTCCTTCCCCACTGCCCCCATATCTGCAGGTCCTGAAGGCTGCAATCTCTTCATCTACCATCTCCCTCAGGAGTTTGGAGACAACGAGTTGATGCAGATGTTCCTTCCCTTTGGCAACATCATTTCCTCTAAGGTATTCATGGATCGTGCCACCAACCAGAGCAAGTGTTTTGGTAAGTGCTGACACCAGCAGGCGAGGGAAGCATGATAGATACTGATGACACTTATTATTGGGCATGGCACCAACAGTGCCGTTGTTATCCATGCCTGTGTCCTGTCCTTCAGGTTTTGTAAGCTTTGACAACCCATCCAGTGCACAGACTGCTATCCAGGCTATGAATGGCTTCCAGATTGGCATGAAACGCTTGAAGGTCCAGTTAAAACGACCCAAGGATGCCAACCATCCCTACTGACAGCAGTAAACAAGCAGGAGTCACTTCTGCAGCACAAGGTAAAGCTGGCACCATCATAGCACAGTTCTGTACAGTGCTGGCCAGTGTCAGGACAGCAAGGTCTGGAAGTGGGGAGCCACGAGCTGAAGGCAATAGTGCAGCTAGTGGGGCAGTGGCCTCACCTGCCAGGGCCCAGCCCCAGCACCTGAGCAAGGTGACCAGAGCAGGCCCAGAGATGATGGCCAGGTTCAACAGTCTAGATCATCAGGCAAATTTGTGGCAATGAGGCAAGCCTAAAGGCAAGCCAGAGTGTCAATCTGCAGGTCAAGATCAGGATCACATCTGGTGAAGGTAAATAGGGTCAAACATAGTGCAGTGATTGCCAGGCAGGTCTATGATGTCAATAATAAACAGATCAAACATCAAGATGGGAAGACAATCCAAGGGTTGAAGTCCAGGTAATTAGATCCATGGACAGGACACGTCCATGGACAGGGGGAGACTGGAATTTCCACAATGTAGGTCAGACAAAGGCTGATGATACAGTCTCTATAATGAGACTTGGACCTGTGGGCAGGGTGGACAGAAATTGCAGGTGAGGCTGGTCAAATTCATTAAGGCCTTTTAGTGCACTCTGACAGGCAGATGGGTTCTGTTTGTGGTCCAAGCAAGGTTTCAGTCTGCTGTCCAACTGCTCCCCCAAAGCTTTTGTCTGCCTAAAAAGGTTTTAAAACCCAGTTTTCAATTGTTACATGGGCCTGAAGTTAGTCTGCAGAGAATGCTTTCTGGGGTAAGAAGGGATAATCCCATGATTCACAGGGATCACAGATAAGCAGAGAAAAGGTGAGACCCTTAAGGACCACAGAAGAGCTGCCTGACACAACAGCTGCTGCCAAAGAGCTGCTTCTGCCAGCCTACAGACAGGGAGCAAGGGACGGCTGATCTGATTTGGGTCATAGTCCTTCATGTTTAAGCAACAGCAACTCAAAGCCTGAGGCTTGCATAGATGTCCTCCTAATCTCCCAATTCCCTCCCTCCTCCCTTTCTGTTCAGGTGAAAGGAAAGTCCAGAGGAAGAATTTCTGCTTCAGGTTGATTTACAGAAAGGCCAGTAAATTTATCGACTCTTTTGACACCACCCCTTTCCTTCCTCTGCTTCCCACCTACCCACCCCATCTTCCTCTTCCCCTCCTCTCCAAGACACGCAATTAAAGAGAAGGCTCAATATCTGCCCAGGAGGAAGATTCTTGCCACGACCGACTCATATTTGCTGCTAATGTGGTGCATAGCAAAGGGACCAGCAAACCAGCAGCCCCTGGGGACATAAACCTCTTCCTCTCGGGGTATGGCTGGAGTACGTGGACCAAGAAAACCCACTGGTGTGTCTCTAGGTTAATGCAGTGATGTATGGAAGTTTAGTCCCATCCCTTCCTCCCTCTTGCTCCGTTTCTGGCCCTTTCATAGATAAATATACATATATATACAGTCTCTATTTTTTTTTTTTAAAGTGGCTCACAGGACCAAACTTTTCAGACTGACTGCTTGCAAGAGGTATTGGAAGTTCGGGGTTTACCTTTGCAACAGTGTCTTCTCAGCACACACTGCAGATAGGCCTGAACATTTTGAGAGGATGCTTGGGGAGAGAGAGGGGAGGGTGGCAGAGGGTAGGGAGAAAGAGAGGATCACCTCTCTGCTCAACATTAGCAAGAAAGAGGAGAAATACATACCTCCAGGATTAGGGCACAGTCAGATGCTCAGCTCGAGTCACTCATCCACCGTAGCACCAGCCTGGTTAAGGATCTCAAGAGCTCTAAGTCTGACCTTTCCCAGGGCTTCTGCAGACAAAGCTCCTGGAATTTGGTGCCAGACCCCATCCTGACAACTCCCTGATTAGGCTGAGAGCACAGGAAACCAGTCACTTTACCTGCAGGAACTGTACTGCCTCCCCACACATGGCACAGATCTGTGTTTCATAGTTCTCCATGGTAACAGCATTTTCTTGATGAAGGCAAGAGAAGATAATAGTGTGAGCAGATGCAATCTTCAAAACAGTTACAGAATCCTCCTGGGGGCTACACACTGCCTCCCCGTGTCAGATAAGCTAACGCTTTCCATAAGCTGTAAAATGTGGTGAGGGGGTTGAATGACATAGCAGAGCTGCTTAGTGAGCAGTTCTGATTCCCAGATGAAACAGGACGTTTTCTCCCTCTGAATTCAGCAAGAAGACTCACCTCACACACCCGTTTGCAAAGCTTTCCCCAGCAGATGCAGGGATAATATGATGAAAGAGGGTTGTCTTTCTGTTTTTTCATTTTTCCCGGCACTCCCTCCAAGAGACTGATAATACATTATGGAGCATATATATATATATATATATATATATATATAGGGACAGCTATATACACAGTACTCTTATGCACAGAATGTAGTTCAGAACTTGATTTAGAAAAGATCCTCTGGGAGTGGGGGGGGTGTCATGCTGACAAGGCTCATCCCTTTAACAGTTGGAAACAATCTCTTAAGTTTCTACAAAAATAAGGAAAGCAAGACAGAACAAACCAACCAACTCCACAGTGATTAATGAATGATTAATTTCAATATTCTGGAGTTTGATAAGGTACCACAAACATTTGGGTGGGTGGGTGTGGGGGTGTGTGTGCAGTGAAACATGAATAAAGGGTTGGTGGGGAAAGGCTGATGCAATTATTACTGAAGTGAGCTATGGGGATTTTAGAGAATCTTGGCCAACTCTCACTCTCCTCCAGTTTCCCTTTGTTCAGGTGTGTGTGGCACAGTTCTATAAGTACCTTCACATCTCCTCAACTACCCTTCTGTATCTGATGCTGAGAGTTTATGAGAGATGAATGAAGCTGTGTGAGTCTGTGTGTTTCTATAGTCCATGTTTACTTATTGTAAATACCATTTTTATACTTAACATCTATTATGTATGTGATTTGTATAATGTACTTTATTTCTGCTACTAGTAATTTCATGAAGTTTAAACTTAGTCTAATTTTGAACAAAACAAAAAAAAAGAAAAAAAAGAAAAAAGACCAACAAATGCAAAATGGGAAAAAAAGGACTTTGGAAATCCTAGGTCAAGCTGGTTTAAAACAAGCATTTACAATTTCTTCCATCACAGTTACTGATGTGACTGTAAAATGTTGCAGGTGCGATACAAGCTTTGTCAATGTCGAATTCCTCACTCTGGGCAAAAAAAAAAATCCTGAATTTATTTAATAAAAGTTTTACTTGCTAAGTAACTGAGGCTCTACTTCATGCTGTTAGTTGCACCTGCTTTCACTTACTGCACAATGCTTGCACTTGAGGACATCACCAGAGCCCTGGGGCTGATTTAACAGGTCCCATGCAGTCAGCAAATGTCTGCCAACAGGCCTGTGCCCACAGAATCCAAGTGACCAGTGTTCTTTCATAGAGGAAGCATCAACATGTAATACTAACACATTAAAAAACTGTTTAATTAAAACAGAGATTAAAATTCTACTTAAATGAAACAAGGAGGTTCACAGAATTGAAAAAGCAGTGGAGCAGGATGTCCCAGGAGTGTGCAGACAGAGGTTAAAGCTAGGGCTGAGAGAAGGCTGGATGCAGTAAAAGCAGACAGGTGAGGCTGAAGGAGGGGAGATGGGAGGAGGGCTAAGACAGTGAACAGTGGAGATCTCTGACTCACAGCTAGCAACATCAGAACCGTGGCTAAAGCAGGATGAGAGGAAAACCAAGAGCAGTCTTAGGAAAAGAGCTAAAGTTACTTTGCCACCACTGCTGCCCTGCTCCTGCTTGACACCAACAGGAGGCTTAGTGGGATGGTGGGAATGTAGTTAAAAGGGATATAGGATGGGAGAGGAGACAAACTGGGCATCTTTTAAGGACTGCTGTAGTTATAGTAACTCCTTAAAACCTGGCCCCGGTTGCTGGGGAACAAAACCCAGAGGCAGCACAGCTGCTGCAGCCACCAGGGGTAGAAAACCTCCTGCACCCGTGTAGCACCTCCCCGGATGATGGCGAGTGCAGCTTCAGGAGCAGGCGAAGCACTTATGTGCACTTTGCCCCTGGAAAGAAATGGTCAGAGGATCAAAGCAAGTCAATCCCTGGCGTGGTTTTAACTCTGCCACAGGGCTCTGCACGCTCATGTTCAATGCTGAGGTGGATATGCACAACCCCTGTGATGTACCCAAACAAGTGCACACTCCCCATTGGTTTTTTTGCACATCCAAAGAGATTCCCACACATCTCAAACACAGTTGTGGTGCATTTTGTTGCATGCTTTCAAGAAGAGACATACTCCTGCAGACACACTCCCTCCCAGATTCCTGCATCCTCCTCCAAATACACACCTGGTATTCTGTAATGCTGTGTCAGTATCAATCAGACCCAGGATGCACAGTGTGATAGAGACATTTCTCTTCTGCATGATGAGTTCATGGCGCAATGAGCTGAAGAATCCATCCAGTGCAAACTTGGTGGCAGAATAAGAAGTGGTGAAGGGAGTGGGTATTTTCCCTGGAAAGGAAAAGGAGAGAATGGAAACCACCAGGAAACTGGCTGTAAGGAGAATCCATGGTTAGGGAGTCTGGGCAAAGATGTAGACTTTGTCATACTGCATCAACTCACATTCTGTTCAGGTGAGTTTCCCTCTACTTCTAGTCCCATGCAAGTACTTAGACAATTATACCAATTTGTGCAAACAAATCTCAGCACAAAAGCCACCACATGTGTGGATAAGGGAAGGAAATTTCTTTTAACTTACACAGTAACCAGGTCACATGCTGGACTAAAAAGCCCCCTGTGATGGTCTACCTGCAGCCTTCCCCTCCCCCAGAACATGCAAACACAGGGACTGGGTTGCACCCTGGGGTCTTTGGCCATGACATTTCCTTGGCACATTGCGTCAACAAGGCAGGGATGACCCAAAGTCTGAACTTGTGTAAGGTGATGCAGCTCCCTTGAGCACACACTGAAGACTCTCCTGCCTTTCCGTCCTGTCCAGCAGATGCAGCTGCTCAGCAGCTGCTATTCAGGCTGCCCAAAGCCAGAAGGCCTGAGAGGGGCAGGATGATCCTAATGCTGTGTCTGAAATGCAGCAGAGGTGGGCCTGGCTGTGAGGGACAGGAGTCAAACATGCAGATCTGGGCACGTGACAAATGAAGAGCAAAGTTGCAAGGGAATGCAAAAATGGTGCAATACAAAGAAGGTCTTCCAGAAAACAGGAAAACAGCCAGCCACCATCCTGAGCCCCTCTTCCCCCCAGGGGGTTCTAGCCAAGCAGCAGCACTTGCCCTGGAGCTGCCCCTATATGTGTGTGTGTGTTTGTGTGTATACACACACACTCTTATCATATACTTATTACATATTTATAATATTATTACATACTATAAAATGCATAGTTGGAAAATGTGTTGAGGGGTTGAACGACAGAGATATGATGTGCTGGGAACTGTTGTTCCACAGGGCCAGCACTTACTGCAGGTAAAGTCACTAACCTGTGAGGGAAGAAACAACCACCAGCGAGCCTCTGTTCTTCTCCAGGGTGGGAAGAGCTGCTGTTGTAAGTGCCACATAACTGAAGAAATTCACCTGTAATGATAAAAGTAGGCATGGAAGAAGCAAGAGGGTTTGAAAACATGAGCCTGAAAGTCAATACAGTGATCAGAAACGGAAAGGAGCATAGCTTGGATTTGCCTTTTCAAACATCAAGTGAGAAAAATCATCTCTGTAAAAATGGGGACAAACATTGCATCCATGAGTCTTGCAGATTCCATAAAAAGCAACGGAGAAGTTTCAGAGCAAAGGTTATTCCTTGTTTTTAACATAAAGATTTCTTGACGAGATACAATTAGCTGTCCCTGGTTTCTCTGTATGCTATTCTTTACTCTGCAATTCCTATCCAGCAACAAGGATATCCGTGTCTCAATTTGCTCCCCTTAAGTTTCTCTTGACTGAGCTCAGACTACAATGAAGCATAATATTCAGCATCTCTTCAGAGTTTGACTGCTCTCTAACGTGTAAGAATCTCTTACCTGTGATCCTAAGTTCCCACTCTCCAGCAAACAGGCTCCTTCCAAAACAAAATTAGAACTAGTATGTATGACGCACCCGAACTAAGAAGACTGAATCAAGAAAATGGCTCTTCATTTCCATGGTCCCAAAACCTGAAACCAAGGTAATTCTATAGGAAAACCCTACCTCTGTGAACACAGACTCAAATGGCAGACAGCATTTCAAACAAATTTGCTGTGTTCTGCAATGCCACATGCACTTGCCATAGATTAGCAGGAAGTGTTTGCTGCTCACCTATTGGCCTTCCTAAATTAGACACTTTAACTGTAACTACCTATTGATCCCAACAGTCCTGGGCTAATGAGAGAGAAAAAGGACGGAAGGAAAGAGAGAAGTTTGCAGTTCTTGCCAAAAATTTCTCTTCACAAAATGTACAACACTTGAGCAAAATGTCTCTCTACTGACAAAGCCTCCAAACTGTTTGACTTGAAACGTGGATGAAATAAAAGGTTTGTTTTCAACCATTGCCATAGACTTGAATTTGCCTTGGAGCTTCCCAAAGCTGTCCCAGGAGAAGCCTGACTCACCTAATTCCAGGCGAGCTCTTCCTGCTGGCAAACCTCACCTGCATGAGCCAGCGGGTGTATTCCACATCTCCCGTCCACATCTGGAAATGGGTCATGCCAATGTGGTTCAACACCAGATAATCCAGTCCCCCTGTGGACAGGAGAAAAAGCAGTCAAACCAAGGGCCCATCCCCTAACCAGCAACCAAGGAACTCAGAAATGCCAGCAGGAGGGTTGAACCAACCAGGAACTCCCTCAGAAGGCTAGAAAGTGCTTTACCGTGAAGAGGGATTAAATATGCTCATCTGGGAGCAGCTTTGACTGCTCCTTAGGGGTAGAATTGAAAGGAAAGGTGTTAATCTTTGACAACAGCTATCCAAAATGATGTTTTGGGGTGATTCAGACTTGGAACCTAGTTCTGGTGGTACATCTATTTCCAAAGTTACAAGTATACAAATCTGTAACAGAAAAATTATGATTGGTATGGAAATGTAACAGCAGAAACAGCACTGCTGGACTGACGGGTCATCCAGATCACAGCACACTTACACAGTTTCTTAGGATGCCCACATCAGGAAAACCAAGAGCATAATGAAGTAATTAAGACACTCAAATAATGGACAAAAAGACAGTGAGTATAATAGTAAACACTGCCTAATGACAGTCTGACCCAAATGAGACAAGGTGGAGAGACAAAAGACCACAGTCACTCAACTCCTGTGGTGCACAAAAGACAATCAGAAAGTAGGCTGTGGTCAAAATGTGCCCCAACCAAAAACTCAGAAGACACAATGAGGACTCAACAGTGGACATATCTTGTCCTTTGCTTTGTTACAGAGGCAGGTCATGGCTTTCAGACCTCACAGTTTCTGTCTCTCTCAACCCAAGGCACTACGTTCAGGGTTGGATTTGTGCAGCTGGTCCTCACCCACATAAGGCACAGACATGTCCATGTGGTACCTGTGACAGGTGAGGTACTGCAGCTGTCGCTGTGGGGTGTGGTTTTAGCAGAGCACTGCAAGCAAGTACTTTCTGCATACTTTTCTCCTCTAGCAAAGACATGCCCTCCCCATGAAAGGCTACTACAAAGATGACCACATCTCGCCTGGTATTTACAAACTGCACACCCTCCTGTCCTTAACATCCCTCTCAGGGAGGAACAGTTCAGGAAACTTAAGCAGGAAGCTCCTACTAGAATGAGAACTGCACATATCTGAAAGCCAAAGAGATGCCCAAGATGCTCACCCAGCTTTTGGACAGCAAACTGAACCACCTTCTCAGGTTCTGAAGGGGAAGACATATCTGCAGGGATATAAAATATTTTCTTTGCTCCAAGTGTCAGGCATTTCTCCATCACCTTGAAAGAGAATACAAATCCAAAGATTAAAAATTATGGAGGCGGAAAAGAATAGAAAAAAGGGCTCCGTAAAGCACATACTCTGTCAGTGAGAGTCAATTCTGGACAGAGACACACTTTAATTTTAAATTTACTGCTATTCAGCCCACGGAGAGCTCATTTTGCATCCAGACTTTGTTTAACCAGATAGTTAAATAGAGGTAACTCTTAGCAGGATGCAGATTTAAATCTACCTTGGAAAAGGATGAAGATTCACCCAAAAAAAGCCAGTCTTCTTCAGGAGAAATCTTCTGAAGTATGGGTTATGCTTTACATTATTAAGTTCTTCTTTTTGTTCCAAAGTACCTGGAAAGGTATTCACCTTTCATAATTCCTTTGCTATGTTGAGTAGTGAAGGTGCCTAGTAATGACACACAGTTTAGCTATTTGCTGAAATAATGCCTTCCAGGAATTAGGAACTATCGTTATGCTCACTGTCCCCAGATCACCTTTTGTGACATTTCATAGTGAAGAACTTTCCTTGGAAGTCACATATTCCCGCAGCTAAAGAGTTGCCATCTCTAAATATTGCCCCATTTTATAAACTACAGATGAAGTTCTAATCTATTTGAGCTGGTCCAAAAGTATTTAACCTACAATAAGGCTTAAAACAGCTATAAATAGAACAGTTTGGACTCTGAAAAGCTGCACAATATTGCACAGGAATTGTAGTTGATAGAATAATAGAATATCTCAAATTGGAAGGGATCCACAAGGATCACTGAATCCAACTCCCTGTCCTCACCGGGCTACCTCAAACCAAACCATATGATTAACATCTGTGGTCCAGATGTTCCTTCAACTCTGACAGGCTTGGTGGCATGACCACTTCTCCCTGGGGAGCTTGTTCCAGTGACTGGCTGACGCCACCCTCTCAATGAAGTACATTTTCCTTATGTCCAATCTGAATTTTCCCTGACACAGCTTCATACCATTTCCTCATGTAAATATTCAGGCAGTAAAAAGTTCAGGCAGTGTATATAAATCTTACGGTACAGGCCAAGCTCCCTTCTGGGTTTATGCCTAACAACAATTCTGAAGGAAAATTTATCATGCTGACAACTAATTTGTTGTTGTTTCGGAAAAAGTCTAAATCTCTCATGTCTTCCCTCATACAACGAAAAAGTTCTTACCTTCTGCAGCACAGCTTCCCTCCTAGCAGTCAAAACAATTTCAGCACCAAATCTGGCATAATGATATGCCATCTGCTCTCCAATCCCAGCACTGGCTCCAGTCAGGAGAACACGGGCACCAGACAAGCTCTCTTATTTAGGGGAAAGAGAATAGAAGATATAGAAGTAAGTGAAGGAAGCAGCAGAGGAGGAGCTGCTCTAGTAACTATTGGCAGAGCTCTAAAGCAGAAAGATGTATGTAAGTGCTGAAGTCTTGATGCTTCTCCAAAACTAGAAGAGGCAGGACTGACCTGAAGAATACTTAATGGTACCATGGACCAATTCCCCAGGCCCAACTGCCCTAGACCTGTGTTGCTTCATTACTGTGTTTCTGGTGACCCATTGTACTTTGTTATCACTGCCAAGGAATAATGACATCATTCTGCAAGCGAGCTGTCTCATATTCTTTTTTGTCTGGGTTGCTAGACCAAAATCTTTCAAGAACAAAGTTGGTTTTCACATTCTGAAAAGCTGTGCAACATAAACCAGGCTATGCACCTTCTGCATATCATTTATTCTTTGCTGTGAGTTTGGAGACAGGTCAGCCCTCTTGTGCTGGGCAGTTTACATCTATAGAGACCCATCTTGACACCAAGGAGTTTGCAAGCAAAACATAAAACGAGAAATGCAGTGGCAAAGTGCCATTTTTTCCCCACACAGACAGCAGAATCCCTGCTCTTAAACCATTTTGTCTTCCTCTGTTTCAAGCCTCTCTTTGTTTCCGGGAATGAAGCATTGCTTTGGGGTAACCAACTCTGGTAAGACTATGGGCAGGAATGAGACCATCAGTCAGAGCTTGGAAATTCAACCTCTTCTCTTCTGTGACTTATATTTCACAGCTTGAGATCATCCCCCTGATGAGCCTACCTGGGGTAAAAGGGTCTTTCCAGAAGAAAGCTATGAGCCCAGCTACAATTCCTGTAGCACAAAGCACTCTTCCAATTGCCTTCATATCCCTCCAAGTTGTGAAGAACAAAGTGAAGTCTGGAAGCTGAGCACTCCACCCAAAATACTGTATTCTCCTTTCTCTGATACCGGGAGCCAACCTGCAAGAGGCAATGAAATGTCCCGTGCAGAACCCAGAACGCCACCCGAGTCGTTCCCTCATCGGGAGCCACAGTTACCTTCGTCAAGAACGAAAAGGATCTTTCGCTGGCAATTGCCAAAGCCCTCTGAGCTCAGAGCCAGCCTCCACACAGCGCGACTTCCCCCCAAGCCTGCAGGAGGAAAAAAACCCAAAAGCCCTCGTGTCTAATCTTACAGAACGTTTAATTCATTAAAGAATTATGGCGCCCACAGTTGGCAGCGGCCACCCCAAGCAGCCGGACCCGGGGGTGGCCGGCGCTTTCCCGCCCCGCAGCGCGGGAGGGAGGCGGCGGCAGAGCCCACAGGCCGGAGGCTGTGGGGACAAGGGGCTGCCGCGCGGGCCGAGCTCCTGTGGGGACACGAAGCGCAGCGGGACAACCCGCTCTGCCGCCCGCCATGTTGAGATACACCAGGACACAGCGGCGGCGGGCGCGGGCCTCCCTCGGGGCGCTCCGGAGCCGCTCTGCTCGCGGGAGCGCGGGGACAGGGACGGCCCCTCCCGGCCCCACAACCGCGGCCCCCGCGGCCGCGCCCCCCGAGCCGCCGCCGCCGCCGCTGGGCGGAGCTCCCGGCCCGGAGCAGGTGACGGCTTCCGCAGCCCCGCCATGGCCGCCCGGCTCGTCCCCGTCGCCAAGTGAGTCCCCGCGGCCCTGCCCGCACGGCCCGGCCCGGCGCTCGCCCTTCCCGCTCTGCTCTCTCCGCCCGCCCCGCGCCTCCCGCTCCAGGGGCTCCCGGGAGCTCCCGGGGGCTCCCCGGCTCTCCGTGCCCGTGCCCGCAGCCCCGGCCTCGCCTCGCTCCTCCGCGCCGCGCCCTTGGCCTCGGCCGCCCCCGCGCCCGGCTGGTTCCCGGCCGGCAGCTCCTCCTGTGTCTTCATGTGCCGGGCGGGATTGCGGCGGGTTTTTTTCGGGGCGAGCATGAACACGTAACATTAAACCCAGAGTGCCGCGGAAGGGCGCCCGTTTGCCGGGGGAACACGCTCAGGTCTGGAAATACAGCCCCACTGGCAGGGAAGGAAGCGTGGAAGGGTATTCTTGGGAGTGAACAGTACGTTTTAGCAGAGAAATCCCTTTTCCCCAAAATATGCGTGAATACATGAATTTAAGTATTGATTCTCTTCTTGCCTCTCTCGACAGATGTATCTGTCCCTATATTCTACTACTGCAGTACCACTGTCTGGCAGGTTTTGGTTTGTTTGTTCATACAATAGCTTTTCTTGTTTTTTAAAGGGAAAACAATTCTCTGTCCTGTGAATCTGGAAAAGTCAGTCTCCTCAGATCTCTTATTTATAACAAAATTGCCAGTAAAGGCCAAATACTATCTTCCCATCATCCAATTCGTAGGTTGCCACTACAGCTGTAAAACTGCACACCATGCAGTCTGCTGGGAAACTTTAAAAGCCTGGGCAGTGCAAACACCATAGCCAGATGTTAACTGGACTTTAATGAGCTTAAAGAGGTATTGGTGTCTATCCTTATTAATAAGGCAGCAAGAACCACATGGATGACTTACCCACTGCAGAATCCTTTAGTTCCTCTTGTCAAAGGTATGTGCCAGAGTGGCAGATACTCTGAGATGCTTGATACTTCTGCATTTTTTTCATGAAAACTGTTACTGATAAAATGTGAATAGGTACAGTTTCAAGGGGCTAACGGGGAGTAGTTGGCCTAGAAAGAAAAGGAAGGTAGCTAGATATTTTTCTGCAACTTTTTGTCTGCAGTAAGACATTAGAGTATTTGTGACCCTTAGATTTCTTTACTAATACCCTCCCTTTGGCAGTCACAACCTACTGAGACATATGCACTGATGGTCATAATGTGAACTGAACTGTTCTGCTTTTGATCCTTTCAGGTTTGTTATCAAAGGAAGCCTGGCTGGAGCTGCTGTATATGTGGCATATGATCAGGGGCTGCTGGGCAGTGGCACACAAGGTGCTGAAGCACTCAAAAAAGCTCAAGCAGCACTGCCTCCAGCTATCCAGGAGTGGACGAGTTACCTAGGCTGGGAGGTAAGGGCTGTTTAGATGGACAGTGCAAAACAAACACATTCTCTGAATGAGGAGGAAGCATTGGGGTGATATTCTGATTCCAGTGAAGTTGGTAGGATTTTTACTGTTGAAAGTAGATTTAACATTGCAAATATTTTGAAGAGGATTGAAATGGAAGGAGAATAAAATTTTAAATTTGGAGGAGATACACGGCTCACAGATGTTACTTCAAAGGAGAAGGGGTAACCAGCCTATGCAGGGTCAAGGAGAGGATTGCAAATATGCTCTGGGTGATATTTCACTATGTAGTGGTATTCCTAAGCTTCTTTTGAAGAATCCTACATGCTTTCAGAAAAACCAATGAAAATATTATCCTCCCATATTCTCAAATTGCTAACAGTTCATCAAATTGAATTTAAATTGCCTGAAGAGGCCCTCCTCTATTAGTTCTTAGTTTTTAAAATCCTCAGAAAAGAAGCCTTTGCTTTAAGTTTGAAAAGCATTTTTCATGTTAGAGACAACTCTAAACTAAGAGATGACAGCCAGCCATGTAAGGAGACAGCTCAGGAGATGTTTTTCACAAGCACCCAAATGATATGTACTACCTTCTGGGGAAAAGAGCAAAGCCCAGACTTAAAGTGTCATGTCTGATCCCTTTCGAGACTTAGGGAGAGTAGGCACCTAAGTATTTTTGAGATCTGAGGTCAAGAGGCTTTGCCAATGTGATGTGAATTCTAAGTGAAACGCCTCAGGTGCTGATATTTTGTCTTTCTCTTTCTAGCTCCCACCCACTCCAAAATTTGACTTTTCCCTCTCTGATTCCTGGAATAAAGGTAAAATAACCGCTCACCAAGCTCTGAAAGGAGCAAGGGGCCAAGAGTGATGTAGCTTATACCAGTCTTGTTTCAACATCGTCCTCCTAAATTGAATGATGGAGAAGGAGCTGATAGATGTTACAGTCTGTTGGAAGAACCATTGGGACTGGGGCTGAGGAAGCATATTCTGCTTCAGACTAGCACACTGACTGACTTTGGACTTAATTTCTTGTTGTTCCAACTGTGAAATAAGGAGGAGGATGTGTGTCCATAAACCTGGCTGCCTTTTCTAACCAGGGAGCTGGTGTCTCTACCTACAAAGCTTGCTGCCTACCTGTGCCCCAAGACAGGCATGGCTGTACTATCCTAGAACCTAAGATTGAAAGTTTCAGTAAAGTGTTCAGGGAGGCCTGTGGCCCCCACAGTAAATAAGTAGAGTTTATGCACTGGTGAGTTCATCAGCATTGGCAATGATCAAGGAAACTAGAGGATAAAAATAAATGATAACTTAAGAAAGGTGTACCTTTGGTTAAAGGTTGAAGACTCTACAGATGCTAGTATGTCTGAACTGAGCCCTTGAATTTTCAGAAGGAATGGGCATTCCTGTTGTTCCTAGAATTTTAGGCATCTTGTTTGAAGGTTAAAGCATGTTATAAATACCTAGTAATAAATAGTTTTTATGGTGCAGCAAAGAGTCTTTATGTAATTGTGGGGACACACGGTACACAAATACTGTGACATGTCCAGCATCACCCATGGAGTCTGTGATAAGGCCAGAAATAAAATGGAACTTAGCCCAGTTCTTTGTTTCAGTCTTGTGATTGTTTCATCTCATATAGAGGCCCTTAAGTTGGAATTTCTGTGTCACAAATGTTACTGAGACAATAAAGCTGTACTTGAACCAAGGATCATTCAGGCCACAGGGTGTTTGAAAGCATCTGAGTTAGAGCTCAGTTTTTCTTTCTGTGTTTAGATATCTACAATGCTAGAGTAACAGTGGGAAATTTGGCTTGAATGATGACCTTGGGATAATTCTTCTCTGCTTTCCTTGCAGGAGTGCAGACAGTCATGTCTGCCTTGTCTGTAGCTCCCGCCAGGGCCTGTGAATACACGGTGGAAGGCTGGAAGTATGTGAAGGATCTTGTCAAATGAACAGGTTCTCCAGGGTTCATGATTCTCTCTATCCTGTGTTGGCTTTGAGAGGATGCACAGTCCGTCGCTCTGGAGGGCAGCTCAGCCGTGTAAGGGCTACAATAAAAGACTTTGGAACTTCAGTTTGTATTTGGGTTGGTTTTAGCATACAGACTGGAACAATTGCTTTTTCTTAGCAGTGATCAAAGGCTTCAGGGATCACAGATCATTTGTAATGAAGTGGTGGCCGTATGCTGAGGTACCACCTCTGTCCCAAAGCTGCCAAGCTTAGTAGCTAAACAGATTATTCTGAAGCTGAATTAATCTTGAAAGTGAATGCCATCTTATTCAAAACAAGCCAACAAGAGTTACAAAAAAAAATTAAAAATCCAAGGTAACAGTAAAAGATGTTGTAAAAGATGGCTTAGGGCATTTATACAAGTGCAGGGAGGGTAACTGAGCATGAAACATTTTGTATCTGCATGAAACATTTTGTTAGGTCGCAATATGCTCCACTTGGCAGACTCTGCATGTTTTCATTTTAATGTGGATGAAAACTTTTCCGAGGTCAGTTTTCAGTCTCAGCCAAGGTGTACCTAAGGAGCACCAATGGCCTAGAGGGCATCACTATTGTAAAATGAAGTTACAGACTGAGTCTCTGTTTTTAACCCTTTGTGATGGGATTGTAGCATGGAGGTTGGTGAAGTCATTATATCATGGCACAGCATCAGTATGAATCTGTTCCCTCCTCACAGGAAGCATCTGTGTGTGTATCAGATGGGTTATTGTAATTGCACAGCTTGTAACCTCTCTGCTCTTGGGTCTCTGTCCCAGAGCTGCTGCTCATGCTTCTAAAACCAGGGACGGATTGACCTCGCTGCTGGCAGCAGGGCTGTCATTTCTCCCACACTGATGTGCTAACAACAGTTGCATTGTTCTAGTCTATGCTAGTTACAGAATGAGCTGAGGCACAGCTACAGAACAGGAAACAGGCAGTGGTAGGTAGGGAGAGCAGATGAGTGCTTACTCAAATTAGGAGTCAGATTTAAAACATGAGAATGAAGGATTTGCAGTTTCGTTTCCTTTTTTAACAAACAGTTATATGATGAAACCAACTGCCAAGAGATTTCAGAGGATTTGACTAAGGTATAAATAGCTTTAAAAAGTGCTTAAGTTAATTCCTGAGGGATGGGTCCAAATCTATGGTCCAGATGGAAGCTACAAGTTTAGTAAACGTTGGAGTTCTCTGTTGTGCAGGTGGCAGATCCTTCACCTCATTCTAGAACCTTGATAACCTCTATCCATATCCCATTTCTTCCTCAACTTCCCAATGTCAACTGCCTTTGAAGCAGCACAGCTTTTCTTGCAGGAGTTTCTGTCATAGCTACCCGTGTACACACCCCAGAAAATAATGGTGCTGAGATACTTGTGCAGGGCTGCTTATGCAGGCTGGCTCCTGGGGACACCAGGTTAACGCCAGCTATGAGACAGGAG